ACAGGGAAAATATAATCACACAAGATTTTTGAGTTTCTTTTAGATGGTATTAAAATATAAATATAAGATTTGCAAACAGGTCAGATAATTTTTCTGAAGGGGAAGGTGTTTGCTTATGTTCAAGTTCAATGAAAGCTGCACTGATTAGGCCCATGCCAACTATGCAAAGTCCTCCCTGATGTGGCGGAACTGGGGGCCATAACCAATGGGGCTAAGGAAGAATCAAAGAACATAGAAACTAAAGCTGGGACTATGTTGTAGGCTGTTGATGCCATCCCCTTGAAAGGTAGCACAGCAAGCTGAACCCTAACTTTCAGTGGATTGCAATTGTACTTGGAATCTAATATGTTCTATTGCTTGGCAGGGAAAACATAGCTGAGAATACTAGATAAAACCTTAGGTATTCATGAAGAGGCTGCTAACAGCAAGAAGGGTTCAAATGGCTGGAGGTGACCAAGGTAATGCAGGCAGCTGTAAAAACTAATTAAGGTGGAGACCTGTGTCTCTCACACAGAATGGCTGGAACAGAGTGCAGAGTGCACCAGTGCAACATTGTCTACTGAAGCAGCACTCAGTTCCTCTGTGTTTTTATCCTTTTCATGGATATCAACTAAAAAAATACATAATAATGGTGCCCAATACAATAAGTAGCTCCTGATGCTAAGCCCACATGGCCTACTTATGAATTAATCTTCAGAACCAGGGACACAACAGAGCCTTGGGCATGGCTCTGGACTTGGAAAGTGCCCTGTGACCAACAAAGTACACAAAAGTCTGAACAGCACTCTAATGTAGAGCTCATTGCTCAGGGATCACATTCTACGCAATCTCTAGAATCGTCCAGTCCTTGTCAGGGACCCCAGGCTTTACAGCGGTGCGCAAGTCTGCACATGCACGGTATGCGGGACTAGGACCTAGGTGCCCGCTACGGCAACGGCGGTCGCGCATGGGCACTCGCAATCGCGGAAGCGCGTCTGGGACCAATGAGAGCGCAGGGCGCCCTATTTACACAGGCTCTGACTATGCTAAAATTGCCGCATGGTCTTTTCCTGTTATCCTGTGTTCCTGAGAGATTGCCTTGTTGCCGACCCTGCCTGACCCTGATCCGTTGACTGTCTCCTGCTCTGATCCCTGGCTTGTCTGACCATTCTCCTGTCTTATCCTGTACGTTTGACCTCCTGTTGCTGAACCTGGCCTGTGACCCATTTATCCTTCTGCCTGCCGCTTTGTACCATTCTGCCTCCACCGTTACCGACCTGGCCTGTCTGACTTCGCTCACTCCACCTCTTCATATCAGGCTCTCACCTGCTACGTATCACCGGCAAGTGCCTCTACCACAGCTGGTTGCACCCGGGGGCCGCGACCTGGTTTCGGCCTGCTCCAAGTCCACCCCCACCATCAGGGGCACTGGTGAACAAGCAGGTCGGAGCTTAGATTCCGCGCCCCAGGGAATCCCAGTCTGTGGAGCGCTAGAGGGACCGCCGCGGTCCCTAACAGTCCTGTTCGGTTTGGGTATGGTCTTCAAACCTATTTCCATAAAGAGACCGGCTCAACCAGCATGTAGAGAAGTCTAGACTAAACAGACTAAGCACTACAAAAAAGACATCCCATCCTCCTTGGACCCTATAAAAAAAAATGCATGCTATGAGCGGGAAGTGTTATACTAGGCTGGTCACTGTTTTTTGTTTGTCAGTGTCAAAATCCTTCTTTAATGTTCAAAACCTCCTTTTAGCACTTGCCTATCGTGCACTTATACCCCCTTCATGCTCAGGCCAATTTTCAGCTTTCAGCGCTGTAGCATTTTGAATGACAATTGCGTGGTCATGCAATATTGTACCCATATGAAATTTTTATAAATTTATCACACAAATAGAGCTTTCTTTTCGTGGTATTAAAATATAAATATAAAATTTTGCAAACAGGTAATTTTTCTCCTTCACTGATGTGCGTTGATGAGGCTGCACTGATAGGCAGCTATGATGGGCACTGAGAGGAAGCACTGATAGGCGGCACTGATAGGCAGCACTGATGAGGCGACACTGATGCTGCTGCACTGATATGCAACAATGATGGGCACTGATAGACGGCACTGATGGGCACTGATGGGTGGTACCGATGGACGGCGCTGACTGGCGGCACTGCTGAGCACTGAGTGGCAGCACTGCTGGGCTCTGATGGAGGGCACTGCTGGGCACTGGTGGGTGGCACTACTAGGCACTGCTGGGCACAGGTGGGTGGCACTGCTGGGCACAGGTGTGTGGCACTGCTGGGTACTTATGGGTGGCACTGCTGGGCACAGGTGGGGGGCACTGGTGGATGGCACTGCTGGGCACTGATCATCAGGGCACTGATCATCAGTGTTCTGATGATCGGTGCCGATCTGCCCTCTGACAATTGCTGGATATCGGCAGTACTTTCCTCACGCTGTGACAGCGTGAGGAAAGTGCAGCCGATAAGCGGCAACTGCATTTACCGGTGATCTGCTGTGTCATTGGACACAGCTGATCACGTGGTAAAAGTCAGCTGTAATTGGCATTTTACCATACCATGTGATCAGCTGTGTCCACAGGACACAGCGATTACGGAGATTGCCGGGTGCGCGTCCCCAGGGGCGCGCAGGAGAGTGTGTTCTGAAAGGACGTCATATGAAGCCCTCCCAGAACTTAACAACCGCACTGTAGCTGTCATTCGGCTATAGCGCGGTTGGCAAGTAGTTAAGCAGAAGTATAATCTGAATGTCTCTGAATCCTCAATCAGGGATAAAAAAAAATAGCTGTTTTACTCTTCCCATGCCCTACATAAACAATTCTATTTTTGGAAAGGAGAGGTAGCCATAATTATAAAGTTAGCTTGTTCTAGGCCTAACATACCGGCAACACCAAATCTGATTAAAGCTCTGCTTGATGCACCTCATGAAGCGTTATAAGCCTTCTGGCAGCATAGCTGATTAATAATATGACACTATGCTTTATTGCTGGATTTAAGTTGATGGAAGTCTGTAAGACACATCACCTATATGCTGTCTGTCTGTACAGTTTAGTAACAACATAACTTTTTTTCAGGTATATAGTTATGCTTGAAGCAAAATAGGCGTTGTCAGTCCCTAAGGGGCTTTAGAACTTACAATATTCAAGAAATTAAAATCAGGCATTTATATAGAGTGATTAAATGTTTTCTCCATCACAAATGAAATAACTTTCTTTTGCAAAATGTAGGTACTTCCTGGTTAGATTTTTTTTTAGCAGCCCAAAGTATCATCCAAAGAGCCAAACACTAGTCAAAGAACAGAAAAATAATTTTGTATTTGGAAACTAATAAGGATGACTTCTTATTTAGGATAACACTGCTTTTCTGTACTGATTGGAAATGCTATTACATGAAAGCAGTGTGCATAGCTTGGGTTTATGAGAACTGTAGTGCTAACCTACTATCATACTCAATGTCTAAACACCTGATAGTGTGAAATGCATTGGAGCAGTCTCACCCCTCCTATTTTTTATGTATGTGATTTTTTGAATGTATTACAAGAATTAGACTTTACCAGAGTGCAGTCATCCTATATCGTTTACATAATGTCTAGTTGTGAGCTGGACTGGAGCCTGGTGTTTGGGCAGTTAAAGGCAGACCAACTTGGAGCTTTATTATGCAGTGTATGCTAACATATTGTCATCAGTCTACTCTTCAGTGGGTGAACTACCTCCTCCGTAGCACACTCAGCCACTATGGAGCTCAAAAATAAGGGAATGCTAAATATATTTTCCCACCTCCTTCATCATCTGCATTTTTTTACAGCCTAGTAAATCAGAACTCATTATAAGGTCTAGCAGCATGAAAGATCCAAGGTTTGGGTATGTCAATCTCTTTTCCTTTGTCCCCCAGACTTAAACAAGCAATTAACCCTTGCAATGTGGGTTTTTTTTTTTATTTTGAAGAAAAAAAAATGTTTGGAGTCAAAAAAGATGTAAAGTGATTTGACTTTTTTTTTAATCACACATTTCCTTTAAACCCTAAAAGGGCATTAAGGAGCATTACCATTAGTCACTTCTTGAAACTCAATGATTCACCACCAAAAGATTTCGAGCTGGTGCACTAATTTCACATACCTGGCATTCCTTTCCTATATCTACATTTCTATAAACATGAGACATTCTCATATCCAGTGCAATGTATACAATACCTGATCATAAAAGCAGAGTGTTTTGAGATATAGCTGTCTGCTTCACAGGTCCATATTAAAAAAGAAAATGGCTTGAATGCATTTTTTGGTAGACGAAACAGGTTTCAGTGGGGTAGAGTTACTGAAACCTAAAGGATAATTTCACCTTTGGGAACATGTTACATGTTCCACCCGTTTGTAGGGTGGAACATGTTCCTATAGCCGCAGCCACGCCTGCCGCCCCCCCCCCCCCTGACAGAAGCTCCCCCATACTATCTGTCAGATTTGAAAACAGTACGGCCGTGCGGGGCTCCGCTCACACAGTCATGTCACTCATTCAGAGTTCTGTGAATGAGTGTCTACAAGTCCCCGAAGCTGTCGGCTTGTAGTTTTCAATGAACTACCACTGTGCTGTGGAGTGCCGTGGTAGCTTCCTGTCAGAATATCTGCTTGACCGTACATCCCGTATGGCAAGCAGACTTTCTGAAAGGTCTGCAGGAGACCTGCATGGAATCAGCGATCTACTGGTCACTGGTGCAATGCTTTACAGGCTCCTTTTGACAAAAATAATAAATGCACATATTTTTTTTACCTGCAAAAAAATGTGCATTTATTATTTTTGTCCAAAAGTTGAATTTATCATTTTAGTGCTCAGAATTTGGTGCAGCTGTGCATGGTAGCCAATCAGTTTCTAACATCAGCTTGCTCAGTTAAGCTTAGACAATAAAACCTGGAAGCTGATTGGTTTCTATGCAGAGCTGCCCCAGATTTTGCACTCTCCAGGGTTTAGTAAATCAAACCTATGTGTAGCTATATAACAAATATTAAGTACTAAGAGCTTTACCTGCACCACTTGTAGTCACAACTTTAGGCTTGCTACGAGCACCATCCCCTTTTGTTGTATAAGCTGTCACAGTGATGGCATATGCTGTTTCAGGCTGCAGTCCAGGGATGATCATTTCCTGAAATTAGGTACAGGGAAAGACAAAATTCACTGTCATTAATCTTATTGTTGTTTTCTTATTTTTATTACATACAGAGCACTGTTTTTTCTTTTTTGTGTACCTATATGGAAAATGTTCCTTCAAGATAATTAAACATGTGTGCCTAATTTATCCATAAATTAATATTTTATGTAGTTATAATTGTTTTATGTAATAGTATGATTTTCTAACAGAATTAAAGGATAACTATGATAGGATTTGGTAGGTTTTCCTTTATTAAAGCTTACATGTTTATAAACCTACATTTTATGAGTTAATAAATTAGCTTTTTTTTTTTTTTTTACAAAAATCATTAGGTACAGAAAGCATACATGACAATTAAATTTGTAAAGGATGCTGGGTTTTCTTGTGATTTTTGTGAGACTGGACTAGATCCTAACCTATATGTTGATTGAGACTATGAAGTAGTGGATCACCAATAAAGGAATAGAGCCCAATCTTTAGTTATAAGGGTAGAGGTCTATTATTGCTTGGTATAACTAGTTAGGTGCAAAGAAAGGGAGCAATGGAGTCCCAGTCAGTTACAGACGTTTGGTCCTCTTTCCATTTTTTTAATTCATGCCAAAACATTATAAAATCACAATATGTTGTCTAAAAAAACAAGGAAATAATTTCTTGTTAATCCTTTAATTAACCTGAACAAGTCATGCTCCATAAAGTGTGAGTCTAAATGGAAAGCTCCTTTATCTAGCTTGCCCTTAAGCTATGCACATCTCATCAATTCTTTCACGGGTTTTCAATGTTCTAGTGTATTCATGTACATCTTTCTTAGTAAAGCAATTTGAAGACCACAGTGCAGTAACCCATTTTAACCAATAAAATTTCAGCTTTCTGAATTCCAAACACTTAAGAAAGTGCTATTGATGTACTGTATATATGTAAATAAATATGTCATATGTCAAAGATATTGATTGTCTTTTGGTGACATACCTGTTACTCCCTAATCTCAAGTTCATATAATATTTTACTGTAAGAGTTTGCAAACAATTTCAGCTTTGCTTCATAAAAAAGTGAATGTTTGGTGCGTAAAGCAACACATTTCTGAGTGAACTCATGCATCACCCACACTGCAAGAATTAAAAAAAAAAAGAAAAATACACTGAGCTGTAGAACTGAATGCTAAAATAACATTTTATCATTAATGCACATCAATGGTCTTCTTGCTGGAGATGCAGCCCAATTAAAGCAACATTAATACAAGCCATTCAAACAGCAGCCATTTAATCAATACTGCATACAGTAGTTTGCTGTTGTCACTGTATTTATTTTGTCTATATTTATAAACATGAACTTCATGCCAAATTGAAAAAGTCAAACATAAAACCAATGTGGAATGTTAGAGCATGCGTCTGTGCAAATAACAGAGGACACAAAAAAAAAAGAAAATACACACAGCACGCTAAAAATAAACACCTTAAAACCAGCAAGTCCTTATTACTCACATGTTCAGTAGTATCATCATATTCCCACTGTTTTAGAATAAAGAAGGTGGAAAGAAAAAAAATAACAACAATAACATTATGAAGAGCTATCTGTGCAATTAGGGGATTTTAAAGAACTTTTATTTCCCTGTCTATCAATGGGATGTATTAGCGAGCAACCCTAATTTAAATTATGGCATACATAGTATAGCAATGCTAAAGTACTGTGTACATTTTTACATTTAACAATTTATTTTATGCAATACAGCCGTTAAACCCTGTTGTTAATCCAATGCATGTCTGTTTTTTGTGTAACAAAACAAAAAATTTAGGAAAAAAAAAAACTTTGAAATGGGAAGAGAAGTTTTTCTTCTCTGTGCAAAATGATGCAAACTGAAAACTAAAACCCTAGCACTTCAAACTTTTGTTATAAATACCAGCTATCATACAAACAAATGCCTTATAGAGCACAAAAAAACTTCTGTCCCTGCTAATAAAATAAATGAGCCAGTATTATAAAAAGGCCATGTGATATATGTAGCCAGGTGCTGGATATATCATTATGCCATTCAGATGAGGCTATGGTTAATCCTTTTCCCCCTAGTGCCCAGTACTGGACCTGCTACATCACGTTCTGTTAGCAGAGTGGATTCAGTTTTTCTGACAGCAGATGATCTTGGGACCTGTAGTCCTATAGCCAATACTTTCTGTGTTCCTGAGTGCTGATTGAACTACAACTATCAGAGAGCTGGAGAACAAGAAGGATGATGGGAAAGCAGATATATTCTACAGTGAGGGACTGGCTCGCTTTCTTGGCATGGGATTCAGAGTTGAACACAGGGGGACTGCTGTTCTCAGAGACAGATTTCTGGCCTACTGCTGTGGGACTCTGCACATCAGTTCAGCACAGTGGTGATGCCGATAGCCACACCGGGATCACATTAGCATCTCTGCATTGGCACTGTCACTTTCCGGTCTTCACACAGGTAGCTCTGCTTGCCGCGCTGATAGACTGTCAGGCGGTAACTCTGCACTTCCCTGAAAACAGCCATGAGCCTGGGTAAGAACTCTTATTCCTAGAAGACTGTGCTATCCATAGGATCGGTGAGCAGGAGGATGCCTAACCTCTTTCTGTCATCACTGCATACAGACACCTTTGCTCCTAAGTACCAAGAGATCTTTGCTTTGAGCAGTACCATAACTTATCTGTTTAACTTCATTGAATCACCAGTATTCAAAACTGTTTATGGGGCCCACCATAGCTAGCAGAAAACAGCAGATACAACCATATCAGGAACTTTAACCCTTAACACCAGCAGATCGCTTTAAGGGGTTTCTGATGCTGGGAGGCGGTGTTTATAATCATGTGACTGCCGTGATTGGCTGTCACATGATTGGAAAGCTCCTGATCGCAAGTAGCGATTGGGAGCTTTCTGTTAACTGCCGGTAACTGTGCCAGGACCGTGCAGGGCACATGCTCTCTGCACAGCTGTGTTTACATTATGGTACACATATATGTGGCCTCTCGGCATTAAGACCCACACACTGAGAGGCCACATATACAGTTCATGTATATTTGGACACAGGCACAATTTTCATACTTTTGGCTCTGTATGCCACCAGAATAAATTAAAATGAAACAATCCAAATGAATTTGAAGTGCAGACTTTCAGCTTTAATTCAAGGGGTTGAACATAGATATCAAGTACAAATTTTAGGAACTGCAACTTTTTTATACACAGTCCCTCCATTTTCAGGGGCTCAATTGTAATTGGACAAATGAATATAATCATAAATAAAATGTTCATTTTTAATATTTTGTTGAGAATCCTTTACTGGTAATGACTGCCTGAAGTCTGGAACCCATGGACGTTACCAAATACTGGGTTTCCTCCTTTCTGAAGCTTTGCCAGGTTCTAACTGCAGCTGTCTTCAGTTGTTCTTTGTGAGTCTTTCTGCCTTTAGTTTGCCTTCAGCAAGTGAAATGCTCAATGGGGTTGAGATCAGGTGATTGACTCAGTCATTGCGCAAAATTCCACCTCTTTGCCTTCAAAAGCTCCTGGGTTGCTTTTGCAGTGTGTTTTGGATCACTGTCCATCTGTATTGTGAAGTGCAGTCCAATCAACTTTGCTGCATTTGGCTGAATCTGGGCTGACAGTATATCTCTAAACACTGCAGAATTCATCCAGCTGATTCTGTCTTCAGTCATATCATCAATAAACACCAATGACCCAGTGCCACTGGAAGCCATGCATGTTCATGCCATCACACTGCCTCCACCAAGTTTTACAGAGGATGTTGTGTGCTTTGGATCATGAGCTGTCCCAAGCCTTCTCCACACTTTTTTCTTCCCGTCATTCTGGTACAGATTAATCTTTGTTTCATTCATCCAAAGAATGCTTTTCCAGAACTGGTATGACTTTTTTAAATGTTTTTCGGCAAAGTCAAATCTGGCTTTTCTATTCTTCAGGCTTATGAATGGTTTGCACCTTGTGGTGAGCCCTCGGTATTTGCTCTCGTGAAGTCTTCTCTTGATTGTAGACATTGATAATGATATGCCCACCTCCTGGAGAGCATCCTTCACTTGTCTGGATGTTGTGAATAGATTTTTCTTTACCATAGAGAGTATCCTGAGAGTATCCTGAAATCATCAACCACTGTTGTCTTCCGTTGGACGTCCATGTCTTTTTATGTTGATGAGCTCACCAGTGCGTTCCTCTTTCCTCAGAATGTACCAAACTGTTGATTTGGCCACTCCTAATGTTGCTGCTGTCTCGCTGATGGATTTATTTCCTTTTTGAAACCTTACAATGGCCTGTTTCACTTGCATGGACAGCTCCTTTGAACGCATGATGTAGGTTCACAGCAATAGATCCCAAATGCAAATACCATACTTAGAATCAACTCCAGACCTTTTACCTGCTTAATTGAAGAAATAATGAATGAGTAGCGCACACCTGGCCATGAAACAGATTTTGATTCAACTGTCCAATAACTTTTGGTCCCTTGAAATAGGGGGGATGGCTACTCTTAAGAGCTGTAATTCCTAAACCCTTTCTCCAATTTGGATGTGCATACCCTCAAATGGCACTTTCAGCCCATATCTATTATATAACTATAGCTTGAATATGTTTTAGTAAATACCTGAAAAAACTAAAATTGTGCCTGTGTCCAAATCTATATGGACCTAACTGTACGCATAATGTCAGTGCGGACAGGTTAAACATCACAGGTCTCAAGTTTCAATCTCTAGTTAAAAGGGACCTTTTCTCTTCTAAGGCTGTACATTTACATAATTCTCAGCATGCATTTTTTGGCAAGGGTGGCACAGAGGGAGCTGATAAGTCAACAAGCCTTTTCTTCCTCCTCTTGCTGCTGGTGTTGCAATTAAATAGTTGAAGCTATGACTATAATTTGTTAAACGTTGCTAATTGATTATTCCTATTTTACCAGTGTTCTGCTTTATGTGTTAACTGGGGTTGTATATCCTAAATCCATTATTTCTGCAGCCTGCTCTTATTATTCTACTATTATTCTACACTGTTGAAATATGTCTGAACCCAGTGTCAGAAGTGTCAGGAGGCTTGCAAAGGTCAGGGCAACCACTGGGGTCAAACATTATTATCAGTGGTCCCCACGCGGGTAGCACCACAAATAGTAAAGAAAATTTTTACTACAACTTACAAGAAAACCAAATACGTTTTGGTGAACATCTTTATCTCCTAAAATAATCACATCTTTGCACATCTCTGTTATTGGAAATATAACGACCTCTAAAGAACATAGAGCTGCTTGGCCTTTTTGGTGCTACATAGCCATGAGTTTAATTATTCAAGTCTGCTATTAAACTGTTCCAAGTACCACTTCCTTTATTGCAGATGTTCTTAATCATTACACCTTGGGGGTATTAAAACCAAATGGTGAGGGTATAGGACTGAATATAAAAATTATAAATTATTTTTTACTATTGAACATGAAATTTGGCCTAGTGCGTCAGATGATATGTGAGTTGTATTGTTTTGGTTGCACAAGAACAGCAGCAAAAATGTCAGTACTTGTAGTTAGCTTGTGTATTTGTGATTTGTTTTTTATAAAGAAATATTTTAAAATCCTTATTCTTCTTTCAGATGTTCTGTTCTTAGCTATCTATATGTAAAGTAAAACCAAATTATTGGAGTCTTTAAAAATCATGCTGACACCTAATAGAACTTGCAATGATTATGATTTTGACAGTCTGTTGAAAAGGATGTGGCAACATATTGGACAATCCACTGTCTGCATTTAATAAAAAGTGGGAAATCTCTGGTCTATTGGTATGGTAAATTGTGGTTCCACCCAATTGCAATACTTTTTTCTAATTATAGGGCAGCTGATTTTTAGCTGACAAAAATGGAATGTGTTATACCATTATTTACTATATTAGATTGCATTTCTTTAGGAGAACACAGATACTTCTTCATCACTGACACTGATTTTTGCATATTAAAAATACCTTTATTATTAACAAAAAACATTATCAGTCTTGGAACACTCTATTTATCTAAAAAATAATCACTCAGCAAACAATTATCTATTAAATACTGTATGCTTCTCATACCAGTGATGTCAGAAATCTTATCAACCCAGATGAAAGTTACACAATGAGGAGTTTGTTTTAAGGCCTTGCAAATAGCAAAGTGAATGCTTGACCCTTTACCAGTATACTAAGGCAAGGAAGCAATATGTCAAAACAGAAAACAAAATTAATTATAAAGCAGTTGTATAATTACTAATGACTTGCTGGTGCTGAGCTAGGTTATAGACCAGAGAGTAAAAAGGGACTTATAATCTTTTTACAATTACATTTTAAAGGGACATTTAATCATTGGCAATAAGCTACAGGAAAACATGTGTCTCTGAAAAGACAAATCTCATATCTCAGATTTGTAGCTTCTTGTGTAAAGGAAATCCATACTGCGATGTATGGAGGCTGCTAATGCTGATCTCTGTTGACCTCTCCTGAAATTCTACTTTTCCATAGCTTCAGTACTTTGTGGGTCACTGACGTT